ACAAAATAGATTTATCATACATCAGTATTTTATTTCTTCTTCCTTTTCTCTTTATTTAAATTACACATGCACCATCAATAATGACGTACATTTCTGTGTCAGGTTGATATCAAGATCGCAATAATATAAGTTCTTATTCTTTGTTTTTCCTTGATTTTATCAGTTTTTTTTTTTTTTGAATGCAATGTATAAACGGTAGTACGTACGTACAACGAAAATACATAACAGCAAAAGAGTCATTTGTATTTGGATACGAATAAAAATGTTCTCTTATTTTTTTTCTTAATTTCGATCAGCCATTTTCTCTTCTAAAATCCGCAAGTCAACAAAGCGAATAACGCGTGTGACAGTATACAAAGGGCGATTGCGTGCGATTCGCAATTGTTCTACTTATCAATAAATAAATATTCGTTAGGACGAATTTAGATCACATAAAGTATCCAAATCCAAATGTTCGCTTAATAGCATCCCAATAATACCTTTCCCAATTCGCTTTTGTTGAATCCTCTTCGCTGTAAGAGCACAATATTTTTGTACAATATTATAATAAATTAAATAAATATTTAATTAATTAATTATAAAAAGATGTAATTAATTACCTTGATGGAACATCAACTTGAATTAGATTAACTTCCGTATGATCATTCTTTTCACAGATGTTAATAGTTACTTCGCTAAAATGTCCCGATGGCCACTGTTTGCAGCGCCATTTTTGTACTATCTTCGTAGGAGAAATTTCTATGAATTCTCCAAATATATTTCCACCAAATAATTCGAACTTTCCGTGTTTCTTCGGTTCGAGTTTTACAGGACCTTTCGTAAAGGCTTGAACCATCTAAAATATTAGATAAGACAAAAATTAATCAACGTATGTGTCATTTCATATAAATAAGAAATTAATATTAAATATAAAATTACCTCTAACGTAGTAAACACATTGTAAAATTCTTCAGCTCTACATTGGAACTTTTGTTGCTGTTTTATAGTAGTGGTTGAAATTTTACATCCTAATATATTATTTTGTTGGGCTTGTTTAGGAGCAATATTCATTTGCATCTATAAAGAAAAAAATGGAATTGTATTAAGAATACAGTTATGAATTATTTTTGTTTTTAATAAGGAGTGAATGACAAACTTTGATACTCACTTTAACGTTAAAGCCTGATGTTATGTTTGTAATATTATCACTTACATTATCTTTTTTAGGCAGTATCATTCCTTTCGTGAATTCTACAAAATAAATATTTGTTAAAATATATAAAATTGACATATTTTCATATTTTTTTTGTTTCTGTTTTCATTCGTTCGTACCTTCTTTCAAAGAGGACACATATTTCTTTAATTTTTCTCTTATTACTTCTTTTCCTTTCGTATGCAAGAAATGTTTTACCTTTTCACCTTCATCAGTGCTATCATTCAATGTAATTTCAATCTGTAATGGAATAAATGATTTGTCACTTAAGTGACAAATACTAGTACAAACTTAATACAATAAAATATTTAAAATGCAATTTAAAAAAAAAAATATGAATATGAGGATAGACTTGAATTAATAAAAAATACTTACATCTACTTCACTTATGTCGTTCTCTTCCGATAGATTTGGAATGTTAATTTTCCCTTCAATATCTTTATGCGATTTATCAAGTGATGTCCACTTTAGCACGATATTCCATTCGTAAAAGAAAATTAGTTTTCCTTTTCTATTATTAGCTACGGCCTCTCCTTCGCATTTTTCAATTTCTGTAATCTTACAGGATACTGAAAAACAATAAATCACAAAATTGAAATAAATGTGTTATTACTTCTTCGTCGGTATCATTATCTTGCATTACCTCCATCACCGTCAATGATCACATTTGTGAAAAGATCTTTAATCTTTTCTTGCGACCAAGCACAAGCATTTTTTTCAGTCCTACAATTTGTTGACAAAATTAGTAATTGTTATTATAATAAGTGATTTATATTTACAAATCATATGCGCTTACCAATGCCAATTGTTAACATTGGTGGCATCAGGCCTTTCTTCAACAATCCAGCGTGGATCACCTTCTCCCCACTTTGCCATTTTGATAAAACTAAATTAATACAGTAAAACTCAACTAAAACAAGTATTTTAATTGAATACGACTACTGTGTTCTGAAAATACAAAACAATTTCTTATTATTATTTAAACAAATACAAAGACAATGTGATATATGTGAGAAATATTTTATTTTACTCAAATAAAATACAATATTATACAGTCATCAGACAACCTATAAGAACCATAAATAGCTATAGTTTATTTATTTTATGATTATTTTATTATATAAAAATATGAATCATTGGAGTTCTTTTCTTAAATACTTTTTTTAACAAGCAGATCAAATTATGAAACAATAATAAATTCATAAAAGTTATTTTAACGTTATAGAATAAGTGATTTAAAAAAAAAATCATTTTGACAAAGAACAAAAAAAAAGTACATGTAACATAACCTAGGAAGTATAAAACTTGATATATAATAAAAATATTAAAAATTGAATAAAATATATAAAAATATAATTTAAAATTAACAAGAATTACATTTACATAAATGATATAAAGTTGAAGGAAAGTAAGGATACTTACATTACTATTTAAAGGCGATCGGCAATGCGTAACTGAGCGATAGTACTAGAAACTAGTTTTTTTTCTGACAGTTCTATACTTAATACAGTTACACTTCGTTATTTTACGTGATAAGTCAAATTTAAAGGCAAGAAATGCTAATCTAAGTACGCGAATGTTTTCTGAGATAAATATAAGAACTCCTTAACTAAGACACTTGTAAAGAAAACCTTCCCGTTCGGAAGTCAGTCGTTACTATTTATGCAACAACGAAACCTCCTTGCCGACGTTCGAAAAATTTTCTGGAAACTTCAAGAACATAGACGCCATTGAAAGCATGCGTGTAGTGTAAGCTAATATGGCGGTTGAATATACGAAGAACGCGATTGCGGCGTCATCTATACGAAAATTTTTTCATTTCTATATCAACCTACAGATAGTGTTGAGAGAATAGTATGAAAGAATTGAAATGAGAACACAATAGTCAACATACATATTTCACTTCTATACAATTTATCATCCATGTCGATAAAAGCTTTGTTATCATACAAGTTGACGATGAAAGAATGGTGGGGGTATTTTTGTTAATATTTTTTACATAATTTATTATCTTATTAATTAATTTATTATTATTTATTTATAATCGTTTTTTTTATTGTATAAATACGAATAGTTTGGTAATGTTTCTTTTTTACGGATACTCTTTTGATCATGCAAATTTGAAATTGTATTTTGGTTAAGAGCAGGTTAAATGTGTTTCGTTTGGATTTAGAACAAGTTATTTTTAATCATAAATGTTTTATTTTTAGTTTGATTATATTTAGGCAGATTTCAAACTTCTTTTATAGACATTCTCTCTCTCTCTCTCTCTCTCTCTCTCTCACTCTCTTTCTCCGTCGATAATCTTTGAAAGAAAAACAACTATTTGAATGTATATAAGTAAGAACGTACGAGAAACATTGTTTTGTGTTATTGCAATTGTTTACATTAATTAGTATTTTTATTTTAATTATGATTATATCTTTTAGCTTCGTTATGTCCAAGAGATTTCCAATGAAATTAAATTAATATTTCGTAACAACAGATAATTACAAAATATTCGTAAATGTGTTTTTATTGTTTAATTAATAATTAAATGTAGATTATATATAAAAGTTGAGCATCGCATAAACTAGTTATACTAATAGATCGCTAAAGGATTAAAAATACTCTTTGACGAAATATTCGGATTAACAAATTTTTAATTAGAAAATAATGAAAAAAAAGAAAAAGAAAATAGAATAACGATCGAAGTGATAAAGAAAAGGTTGGTCATAATTGCAACCAGTTTGAATTTAATCTTTCGTTAACTTTCAATACTTATCGATGAATATTCTTTGTTATAACGATTTAGTTAGATTTATCTTTCAAAGAATAAAGAGGAAATTTTAATTACATGTTGAGTTTTTCTAAGTCCCGTTAATAATAACGCATTGAAGATGAAAAAATAAGAAAAGAAGAAGATATTTTATTCTTCATAAAATTTTTTCAAAATATCTGCCGCATTGTAAACCGTATCAGCAAGTTCATAATTACGCGAGATGCAATTTAGTTCGGACGACAAGAAAAGAAAACTTCTTTTGCTTTTCCTTTGGCATCTGGTATATAAAATGATAGACGTAAATATATACTACATAAATATAAAACACACACACAAACACACACATACATATATATATATATATACAATTTTTAAAAGGAAAAATAACGAAGCGGGGAAAGAAAGATATAAGAAAAAATGTATTCTATTCGCGAATCCGTGCCAAAGGTTGCTTCGCATTAATGTGCCATCGAAAAGTTTAGCGAAAAGCTATAGAAACATTTTCTTTTGCGTCTAACTACCGTCAACACCATCACCATCACCATCACCATCATCAGTACCACCATCACCACATGGAATTATTATTTTATGTTAAAGCGTGATTAAAAGTTTGTACAGAATCTTTGGATTATTCATGCCAACTCGTAACACGAGTAAGGTAATAACAGTCGAAGTATCTCAAGCTATCTCGAGGTCGTCGATGAAAAATAGATAAATATTTCTAACGTTACCTGCGATCCTTGCAAAGATCATTTTATGAGGATGTTAGGTAGAAATACGTGCAGACTCGGGAAATATTTCAACGTCCAAATTTCTACCTAAGAATAATGGGATTTTTGTAAGTGGTAAGTGCTTATGATCGAAAATCATCCATCTTGGGATTTCAATCAAATATGACCGAAGTGGATCGCACTTAATATTCGAATAAAACCTCTTAGGTTTCTTACTTTTAAGGTTAATTGAAGGTACGATCAAAAAATTGAGAAAAGAAGAAGAATCGAGTAAGTAATAATATTTATTTATTTGATCATCGAGGAAGAAGATCGTAAAAGAATAATGTTCAAGCAATTTCATCAGGCATCAGAGTCTCGACGCGTTAAACCCGAGGGTAATTCGTCCGAGATAATATTCGTATCATCCCCTATTTCTTTCTAATTCTTTTTTCAGTTTCTCTTTCCAGTCTTAGCAGCAGAAGCAGCAGCAGTAACAACAGCAGCAGCATGACGACAAGGACGAAGACAACGACAACGGAGAGGACAAAAGTTCCGTATGGTATAATAAAAATCCCACTTCAGCCGTTGCCTTTATCAAAGCCTAGGCGCAGTTGTGAGCCATTTGACCCGAGAGACCAAAGTTTCCTCCTGCGTGAGGATCCTCGTAGGAGAGCGGTAGCATGGGCACCCCCTGGCATCTTTTACTCCGTCTCGCTCGCTCTCTGGTCAGCTACGGGAAAAGGTGGTTATTGGTGGAGCGGGTGCATCGGAGAGGACTGTAGGATCCGTAAGTAAAAGGCTCACTCACTCTCTCTCCCTCTCTCTCTCTCTTTCTTCCTCTCGCTCATTCTCTCTCTCTCTCCTTCTCTTTCTCTCTCACTTATTCTCTCTTTCTCTCTTTCTCGATATAGAGGTGGACGGTTAGCAGCGGCTCGTGACAGGGAAGGTTGAAGAGGTGATAGTGACGGAGAAGCCAGAGGGAGACCAGGAAGAGTAGGACGTGGAGGAGAAGCTGGAATAGAAGGAGGTGGAGAAAGAAGAAGAGGATGAGGATGTGGCAAATCTGGCGTGGAGGGATACGGGGTGGTGAATGACGTCACGTTGCTAAAGCGACGCGGCAACGCTAAGCGTCTGCGTGGGCCGGTGGTGGTGTCTGGGCCGGGATCAATAGCGCGCCAGCAACCAGGTAGTAGATGTGAGTGCCTGTGGGTTCTTCAACGACGGCAGTCCAGGAGACGAACCTCCCGAGGTAAGACCCTTTCGACGAATCGAGTGGAGCTCCAGTGGCACACCGGACAGCACCATGCCAGAATCACAGCAACAGAGGACCCTGATTATTTAGGACCATCTTTATCTCCAGGTAAGAACATCACATTTTTATTCTATCTTGATCTTTCTCGATCGATTTTCCCTAGCTTCAAATATATCCTCGCTGCTGCTGCTGCTGCTGGTACTACTGCTACTACTCTTACTACTACTACTATTACTACTTCTCCTTTTCCTTCTCTATATTTCATCTTTCTTCATCTCTTTTCATCCTCCTTTCGATACGTTCTTTGTCGTCCCGCTTGGAGAGTGGTCCAGGCTCCGGGCAACCCTCCATCGCCCTCTGGGCTCGGCTACCAGGGTAACAGCGAGTTTCACGGATTCTGTGAAATTCCATTGCCCTCCCTTCCTTCCTTCCTTCCTTGCTTACTACTGCTCTCGAATTTTCGAACCTTGCCCCGACCAATTCGTTCAATTCATACCGAGAAAGGAAAGATATTAAGTGAACTATTTTTGAGGGAAGTGAAGATGTCGGGATAGAGCGCGGGAGACCTTACTTACGTAGGTATTACATACATAGATATCATACACATACACACAGACACATACACACACATACACACCATCTATACACATATATGTAAATACATATTTGCGCACGTACGTGTACATGTGTCTCTGTGTACAGAGGGCGGAGAAATACAGAGAGAGAGAGAAAGAGAAAGAGAGAGAGAGAGAGAGAGATAGAGATAGAGATGACTAGAGTGAAAGAGAAAGACAGATAGAGGATCCAAATGAAGATGGGATAAAAGGGAATACAGAAAAAAAAGAAAAGAGAAAAAGTTACACGAGAAAGAAATATGAGAATCTGTGCCGGACTTTGCCGTGACGTTTATCAACGCTTTCAAATATGCGGATCGTTCCTCTCTTCGTAGATGAAAGTATAATTACCTAGTAGCACCAGCAGCAGCAGCAGCAGCAGTAGCAGCAATAGTAGTTGTAGTAATAGTAATAGTAGTAGTAGTAATAGTAACAGTAACAGTAGCAGCGGTAACAGTAGTGCCAGTGGTGGCGGTGGCTGCAGCCTCCTTCTTTCTGCTTCTCTCTCTCCTCTCTCTCTCTCTCTCTCTCTCTCTCGTTCTCGCTGTTACTCTCTTACTCACACTCGCATAGCTTTCTGGACTCCGATCAGCGCCACGAGGTGAAAAGTTTGATCCAGGCAGGGAGTGTCGTGTGCTCTCGGGGTTTTCCTTCCTCCTTGCCGAATATATTTTTGCTCGGCGAAGCGATACGAGAGAGAGAGAGAGAGAGAGAGAGAGAGAGAGAGAGAGATTTCAAAGATTACTTTTTTATATATACATTTTTATATATACATTTTATATATATATATATATATATTTATATTTTTCTTTATTTTTCTCTTTCTTTCTTCCTCTCTTTTTTTTTTGTTTTTTGGGGGAGGGGGAGGTTAAAGGTAGGGGTGAGTTAGGTTGTTTGTAAAGTATTTGTGCATCTTTCGTAAAAAGTTTTTGGTGTTTGTTATTTTAAAGAACATTTATCTTATTTCTATATAGATATATGTGTGTGTGTGTGTTTTTGGTGGGTACAAGAGAGAGAGAGAGAGAGAGAGAAGGATGTTTTCCTTTTGGAAATTTGTCGAATTAATCGAAGTAGAAGACAAATAACAATTACGTTTGTCATATTTGCTTGATTCGCTTGACATCGAGAAATAATTTTCATATTTATATCGTTTGAATATTTTTATTATATTTTTCTCTATGATCATTTTATAAATTTAAAACGTATTTACATAAATCACGTAAAATGTAGTAAGATTAGTTGTTAACAAATATTCTTAATTTTATGAATTTAAGGCTTGTCATTCATTTTCGTAAGTTCGTATAAATATTCTTGAATTATTTGAGCTTTTTGAGAAATTTGTGTCGATAAATTTGATCATTTAAAATGAGATACAAATAATTACAATATAATGAAAAATAGAAAAATACGTGAAACGAATGAAATACATCGTAACATCTGTCATTAGAAAATGTTCGTATTATTGAACTCCGGTCATCCGTTATTTGATTGAAGAAAGAATTTTCCTTTTAACGCGTATCGGCAACGTTCGATGTTCGATGTTCCGTCGAACTGGATCGTAGCTTCGTTAATTGAATTCCGGTTCATACCTCGTTAATTTTTCTCCTCATATTTTTCTTTTGTCAATGATAGAAAGAGAGAATAATGAAGGAATAAAATATTTTCGTTGACGAGAATATGAAAAAAAGGGGAAAGAGAAAGTTGGAATGAGAGAGAACGAAATTTTTCCTGAAAAATTCGTCGACGTCGAAGATAACGGTTTTGCGCGGCAGCTTGGTATCGTTTTTCGTGACGTTCATTGGTGGAAAGGGATAACGGAGAAGAACGCGTTGAAATTACGGATGACGGACGGACGTTTAACGCGACAAATTGACGTTAGTAATGGAATAAAGGGTTTGTTCGAATTCGCAAGAACTCGAACCCCTTGCTCCAAAGAGAGGACTAATTGACGTTTCTCAAATTACAATATTTCTATTAAAGCAGAAATATTTTTTTCAATGCATTAGTGTATTTCTTTCGTTTATATTCCATGTATTTCCTTTTTTAATTTTCTTTTCTTTTCTTTTTATCAACTCTTTATATCACTTGACCTTTACACAAGCATTTTAATTCCTTAATCTTGTACGGTATTCTTTCGTTTAAATCATTTTTATTTTCCTTCGTTCCACGTTCATACCTATCGTCTTCTGATCTCTCAATAAGAATTATTTCGTTGATCTTGTCAATGAGAATAAAAGTCGATGCATCATTCTTCCTTCGTTGTTAAATCGAGACCACGTATCTTCTTTTTCTTCTTCTTCGTTGTCGTCCTCGTCGTCGTCCTTCATCGTTCGTCCTCTTCAACTGTCTCAAACTCAATTCTTCTTTTACAGCGTGTTTGATCTAGAACATGTTATACCCAGAAAATATTCGACGTCGAGAGCGATGCCAGCCGATAAATCGGGCCGAACTGAGTACACGTATCGACAAAGTTTGTCCTTTCATATTAGTATCGTGTTTGAAGATTGATTATAGAAATAATGCCTCCATAAATCTATTACGTTCTAGACCTTCGACGTTGCTTCTATACGCACATACGTTCCCTAATATGTTATATGTCATTTTTATACCTTAAATATTGAATTCAACCTTTCCTTTATTTCAAAGACCATTTTTTTTCTTCTAGAAAATTATACTTTTTATATTATTCTTTTCGTGTAGTTTTCTTCTCTATGATGAATATGATAAAATTGTATCGAAAAAGTGTACATCACAGTATGTGATGAAAGAATTTTTCATTGAAAAATTACCGATAGCGTGTTATTTTTTTCATTAATTTTATTTTATTTAAATATTTATTTCATGAAATTAGTAAAGTAATTCTTTGTACGAAAATGAATACAATCTTCATAGTATTCTATATTAAAAAAAAAAAGGAAATGTGTTTGATGAAAAGAATATTTTGTTGTTTTTAAATAAGAGAGTCATATAACCTTAGTTACTTTGATTTTTGTATTTATTTTCATTTATGATTTAAGATATACATTTATCTTTTAAGATATATTATAAATCAATTATTAACTGAAAACAATTTATTTTAACTTGTAATTAAACTAATTTTCTCCAATACTAATAATGAAATAATCCCTTACATATTAATCTTAAAATATGTTTAATGTTCGATTGCTACTTCAGTATCGTGTTGCCAAAAAAAATATAATACTAAAATACGATATGTGTTAGAGTTTAGGTTGGGGGTAGGGTAAAAAGAGAGAGAGATAGAGAGATACAGAGAATGTAAAAAGGTATTGCTATAGTTTGGACCAAGCAGTCCCTCAGTCGAGTAGGAGCAAGCAATCAGTATATAATCCCTTGACTATTGCTACAGACAGTGGAACATTTTGTTCTCGAGTAAGATCTTTGTGAGTCCGATTCTCCCTTCTCGGATTCGAACTTGCCACTTTGAAACGGCCATACAGTTTCGATTTACCAAAGCTTTTTTCTCTTTCTCTCTTTTTCTTTTTCTTTTACTTTCCAAATGATTCCTAGTTCGTGTATAGTGTTCTATCCGTTTGTTGGAACATGCAAAAAATATCGGTTACGATAGAAATATCTTTATTGGGTTTGTTACGTCCTTTGTTGGGGCATCCGGAGAAATTTCCTTATCGGTCCAACCGATAATAGGGATATTTTAGTAATAGATGGGCCCAAAGATACCGAAATTTTCGTAGGAAAAATGTATTATTTCTACTCATTTTATAATGGAGTATCTTTCATCGGCTACTCCTACCCTAAAGGTACAACGATGACCTTAGATGGGAAAAGTATTAGTAACAGGGAAAGATCATTGCAGTCCAGTTGATCCAGTTGATCCAGCAAGTTGGCCCAGTCAGTTGGTCTAGCAATTTCAGTCAAGTTAGTTTGATCTATATTCGGCGGAATCATAGTCAGTTGATCAGCACATTATCAGTTATGTACAACACATTAAACACTTCTGTGACTAGTTACTACTAGTAGGAAGTAAGCAAATTAAGGCAGATAGTGATACAGGGTCCGAGCATCACGCTAATCTGCTGTATATAACAAATATTATATATATCTTCAGTTAAACATAATTAGGGTGTGTTTTTCTTGGATCAACTCCTTCTGCCCTTACAACGTGGAAGTGGAAAATGATAGCATTTCTTTGCATAGTACGGGAGTGAAAACCAGTGCATGATCGTACACCCAACATATAGTATCGACTAGATAAAAAATGATTTGAATTGTAGTAAACGCTAGGAAAGAAAGAAATAGAAATATCGTTGATAGGTTATCGCATTGTATTTATCATTTAAAACTCACAGTTAATTTTTTTGTTATCTTCTTTTTTATCTTTATATATCTTTCAACGGTCACACGGTCAATGGAAAAGAGCAAAGTTCGAAAACCGTTGAATTGAAACAGAAACATCTTTTTCTTTCTTTTTTTTCTTTTTTTTTTTAAACGTATTTAGAGAAACAATGCATTTAATTTTGTTATTAAACGTGAACACATTCAGTTTCATTGTGTGTTTGATGTGAATAAATAAAGAAAAACAACGAATTAGAAAAAATGTAAAATTCATTGGAATCGTCGAAGATTCGTTAAACAAACAAGCCGGAAAGAAAGCGAAGGAAAGCGTTTTCCAAAATTCAGAATTCAATTTTACGGAAAGTCTGATTTTCCAGTAGGCTCCAGTAGAAGCAAACGACAGGGTTGAGGATGTGCAAATAAAACAAAATTCTATCCTATGAGTCGGATAACGCGCGTCGACCAACTCGCTCTTTCCTTTCCTTTCTAATGGAGTTATCCTTCCTCGAGAATTTAGCATACAAATGAAATAATAGCGTAGAAATAATTTCAAGGGACAACGTATTGGAAAATCTTACTTCTTCTATTTCTTTTCCTCCTCTTCTTCCTCCTTTTACTTCTTTTTCTTTACGTAAATATTTACTTCGTTGAATTATTTGGGTTTTTAAAATGTTTTTTGTTTCGTTTTATATTTTTTTCCACATTTCTATAGTGTCGAGTTTTTATCGAGCATTTTATACTTTGTAATAGTGAAAATAAATTATTACATAAGCTTTACTAAAATCAAAGAATAATTTTAACAATTTTTGTTCTTTCAACATTTCGACGTACATCTTTTCTTATTAGTTATCAGTCATTATAATCGGACAAAATGATTTTACTTGGAAGCAAAGATAACTATTTCAAGTAAATAATTAATTTACTAGAGCTCGTAAATAAATACATTAGATCAAAGAGAGAAAACCAAGAATATACAAACTACTCTACTTTGAGTAACTGACTTAATCGAAAACAAGAAAAATAATATTAGAAATAAAAGAAAGTAAGAAAGAAGAAGGTACAAAGATGTAAGAGAGAAACAAAAACAAAAAACGAACATTTAAACGTTCCTTCGAATTTCTTCGCAGTTATCGAAAGGATAAACTTTTCTTTTGCTCATTTTATCTCGTCATAATCGTTATCAGATTTAAAGATACTCTTTGAAACTTTGCGCTTACTTTTTTGATCGTTTTACTACTCAAGAGAGATACTTTCTCTCTTTCTTTTCTTTTTTTTTTTTACTTTCAACTAACAGGGTAAAACCATTTGGAACAGTTTTATCGTTGTCTTATATGTATATATGTATATTTATATTTATTTATTTTTCTTTCCCTGAAGAAATTACTTCTTTCTTTTTTCGATTTTTTCATTTTTACCCTTAAAAGAAAAACAGTTGGTAGGGTTTTACCACCCACCATTTAAAACCAGACCAACACTCCCATTCCGTTAACGGAACTTGCAGCACTCGCGTTCGTTACGCAAATTGTTTTTCATGCGCGTTTAACCAAACCTTTATGAAAGTTTGTAGGAGAACGTCGTTGGTGAAAATAAACGATGGCCGGACTTGACGAACACACGAGACTGCATCCCCGAGTACTGAATGACTCGGTTTTGCTTACAACTCGGAACTTACTACCAAGCTTATACACTTGTATGTAATATATGTATGTATGTACATACGTGTATATATATATGAGCATCGTATATAAAACGAAACACATACATACGTCTAATGCAAATAATTATTGAAATATAATTAACCCCTACATAGAGGGGTACCGCGTAAGTCTTGCTATGTTTTTAATAAATATTTTTATTTTTAAAAATAAAATTATAAATAATAACACAAAAAATAATCTATTAGATAATATATTCCAGAAACCTTAAAGAGTACTCTAATACATTTTTTCTAATTTATTAAATACCAATAACGTTGAAAAATAACATCCCCATGGTTTAGTAAAATCCATCATACCGACAGAGGGTTAATTAGAGTACCGGTTAAAAAAGAATATTAAATATTATATCTAATCTAAATGAAACGATAAATGAGAGAGAAAAATATATATACGTAAAAAAAAAACATATTAGAAACTAAGAAGAATGACGATGAAGAAAGGTAGGAAAGGCAGAGGAGAAGTAATCAAAATAAAAACGAACTCCCGGTTGTTTAATGTTTTGTTTAAACATATGTTACATACGTCATTCCTCAGCCTGTGTCTATATTTCAATGTTATTGTTTCTTTTATTTCTATTAAGAATCTCATCGTTGAATTCATGAAGCCTACATACCAGGAGGGCGATCAACATAAGAAATTATACAGTAAACGCGACTGGAAAAAAAGGAAAGATCATTTTCGAAAATACGCCGCTAGGTTTCGTTATGTTCGCCAATGTTAGGTTTATAACGTCATATTTTTCATTGACAAATGTTGACAATACTACATCATTAGCAATTGTATTAATGTTTTTTTAATTTATAAAAAGTAATATTTATTTAAAAATGGTAAATAAACGTATTGTTCATGGGTGTATAAATGGACGAATCAAGGATCGTAATAAAAATGCTAAATTAAATCAGAGAAATACGTCTTTATTCACTGTACCACAGGTAATATAGCCTTAATTGATGGCTATTAATTACTAATATAAAACAATGCAATGATGCAAATGTTTTTTAACTCTACTTATGCTATAGAAATTTCTAGTCTTGTAAAAAGTGCAATTTACGATAATAAATTACAATTTACTTTTAATCGGACTTTTTAAATTTAGTTTTCCATCCTTTACTCAACTGCGACTAGGTAAGATAAAATTGAATAGATTTACACAAGTTGATGATAATATCTTTGTAAAATAATAACAAATTTTTTCTTATTGCTATTTTTAACGTTAATTATAAGATTTGGTTAATTTATTTTGACTAACGCGTGAGTACAATTGTTACATTCCCGCGATAATAAACAAGGTTTTAAAAACCTGACATTAGCCACACTAACGCGCTCTAGTGGTAAAAGATCTGTCCCCTCATTTTTAGACATTTGTAATACATTGCTATCACCCTCCTGTTATCTAGGCTCCGTGGTTCAATTTATAAACACATTGACTTTATGTTCGTTGTAAAGGTGATTCGGAGTTAATCTAGTTTACTGTGTAGCTATTTTCACATTTATTGTTAGTCTTCTTCCAACACTGAGAGACGTATAAACGATATTAAATCGTTTTAGCTTAACGCAGCGCTATCGCGTTGTTCGCTTATTGTGTTGAAATATGTCGGGATGTTTTGTCACGATGGTCACAATTCGTAACGCGCTCGGATCCGAATGTAACGAATGAGCAGCATGATCACGATGATTCGGTATTTCACGTAGATAAACGAACGAAGCGTTATCGAGCTGTATGACACAATCCGACACTTTTAAAAACCTGTTCGAGTTATTTAACCCGTAAAGAGGGAATTTGTACTTTGCATCGAATTGTTTTAATAAATGTGTCGTTAGTAGAGTTCAGTAGGCGTCTAATGGCATGTGAGGTAAGAGTGGAGTGCCGTGAGTTGGGCCGTGTACATGAGCAGGACAATTAGGCACTTCCGTGCAGGTCTGCTAGCTAAATAGATCGTTTGTGCATAGATACAGTTACTCTACGTTCGATTTGTTCTAATGGTAATTTTCGGATTAGCGTACGTTTCGTTCGACTCGGTAAGTTCTCGTATATCGGGATTGTTCTTGTGAGAATTCTAAGTGCTAAGTATAAACAGTACAAAGTTATTGCATTGGGCTGGTTGCATCTTAAAGTATAGTTCAAGGAAAACTCAGAATTACACGCCTAAGTGCGAGACCCCCTTAACTTGTCGGCTACCTAGCGTTCATCAGCCCGGGTAATAGCACTCACAACCTTACGAACAGTCACATGACTGGATTACTAGAATATTCCAGGGTCCAGGTCGTGTACTCGAGAAGTCAAGGCGTATCTACGACGAGGAAAAGTGTATCCTTAAGTTAAATTGCAGATCGAACTACACCTCGTGGCATCTGCAGGTTTCCGGCGTGCGAAAAAAAAGGTACCTCGCGGCGTATTTGCATTTCTGCTATTTCTCTTCTTTGACTGTCATCGAGTCACTATCAATTTGTATAATTTCCTTCTGAAATAAAGCATTTTGCTTGTCCCAGTTTTTCTTTCAATTTTGTGAGAATTTGTATGTTGACGCAAGTTGCATTGTTATCGCGTAAATTGGTGTACATTGATTTACTTATTAATTTCATTCATTTCTGCGATAAGAATATTGCATATAACTCACGATTTCAATAATTAATAATTTTTTTCTTACTAATTTCTCTAGACAAAAGCTCTGGAACTAAAAACGGTTAAATAAGTATCAAATTTATTTCGATTATACGTACATGTGCGGATTTTGTTGCTATGCAAATGATATGCATATGTGCGCGAGTGTGTGTACTGTTGGAGAGTGATATACATATGCATACGTGTATATATGAGCTGCATATATAAGACCAAATACATCTAACGTAATTTATTATTGAAATATTATTAATTAGGTTAGAATTTGTGCAGATACCGGTAAATGAAAGAAATTCAAATATGAGTGTATGTATGTATGTAATAGTATATATTACTTTTGATATACGTAAATGGTTATCGGTCTTTGTTTCTTAATTATATTTATATTGGTTACGATTATCATTTTTTCCAACAATAATGTTAATTTTTTACGATAAGGCAAATAATTTAATGAAGTTTTCATATTAATCTTATAAAAGTAAGTGCATACGTTATATTCTAATTTAATATTTTATACATATACATTATCTAATTAACCCTTTAAAGCATATATGGGATATATTTATCCTAAATATGTTTTCTGTTTCAATAACTAACAATAATTTTCTAAATCTTCTAAAATTTAATTTAATTGTTTAATATGCTTTATTAACTTATGTATCAGGTATTTAATTTTGTGATATTTTAAAATAAAACCAACAACTTGTTTGATTAGCAATAATACAAATTGGCATAAATATTAGTTAGTGATTTTTACCTGAATATAAACGATATAGATTCACTTCTAAGAAAATATCCAATTAAATATTCGATACACGACAACCATCTTCTTCTTTTCCAAGAATCTGAGCACGTAATCTTTCAAGAGTATTAACTTCGTTTCGGGATTAGGCGTTTCATCGCGGTTATATCATTCCGTTTATATACTTGTGCCTATATTAGAAAAAATGAGAGACAGAAAAGAGAGAGAGAGAGAGAGAGAGAGAGAGAGAGAAAGAGAGAGGAATGGAAAGAGGGTCGGATTACTTTAATCATCGCGTGTTCAACGGAAAAGAAAAGAAAGGAAGGAGAAAGAAAAAAAAAGATAAAGAAGAACAGGGATGAAAAATGGAAAGGATAAAAATACATTACCTCGAATGGGACTTATGTTGAAAGAAGATCAAGTATTTAATGGAATGATAGTGTATTAAAAGATAACGCTTGCATAGAGATCATATAAATATATATATAATATTGAATATTTTTCGTAGATTTTATAATTCAATATCGCATTGATCTATTTAAAGTGTCATTTAATCTTCTTTAGTTTTTCTAAATCGTATAAAGTCAAATTTATATTCAAAGATAATCAGATTTTTCGATTATATTTTGAATTTTTTTTTATCGAAATACTTTATTTAGATATTATTATTTATTGTTATAGAAATATGTATATTTCTATTACTTAAGTATTTACCGGTTTGATGTCAAAAATAGTTGGCGTGAATCTAAGCCAAAATAATTTTCCACTGTTTAATGCTTTAGCATTTATCAAATATTGTCCGGATTTTTGAATGTAATTTAAGTGGACAATATGAAATCACGTGGGAAAGGTGAATGAAAGAGAAAGAGAGAGAGAGAGAGAGAGAGAAAATATAACAGCGATAAATGCGAATAAGAAATTTATTCGGAGAAACACGTGAACGGAAATAATCAATAAATATTTTCCATTTGCAAGTAACTATTATTGAATAAAGCCTTGCCTATTTTTATTAGGTAATTGACTTTTATCTCTTCAGACTTAAGTAATGTCCTTGTTTGCTTTCAATGAAGCCAAATTTACAAATTGTCATCGTTGATTATTATTATCTTCTATTATTTCTTAAGACAGAATCATCTGTTTTTCTCTTGAATTTCTTTTCTCTATTTTTTCTTTCCCAAATCAAACAGATCTTGTTCTTAACACATTTGTTACTACACTATTTCTATTGGGCTATTAAATCATAGTCGTTTATTGCAATGTTGTGATCTTATCTTTTGCTTTCAATGAAGCCAAATGAAAATTTTCATCGTTTATAGGTTGATAATTTTGGTCATCGTTTGTTCGTGTTTTTTTTTCTCAAATCAAACGTTTCTTGTTTTCAACAGATCGTCGGGCGAGATATTTTTCTGAGAACTGCTTGATTTATGTTATTTCATTTACATTTGTTTTTGTTTTATATAACGATATAAAAGTATTGTCTCTCGATATGTTTTTAATCATTGCATGTATAAAATTTAAACAAAACAATTTAAATATTTGATATATATAATGTTTTTGGAAATATTTTAATCCGGATAAAGCTGTTTAAATTTTATTTAAATCTACAATATTTTTCTTTTTTATTTAAGAACGAATTTAATGAATTTATTATGTTCAAAAATTGTGTGTAATAATTTGAAATATACAGTAAAATTAATAGTTATTATTTAATATTAAATCGGATTATATTATCGAACGTGTTAATAATTTGACTTTTTGATTATTGTTATTTCCAATAAGAATTTCTTTTTGTTTAAAAAGTGAAATTATGATAAAGCGTGTTTGCAAAGACTTGCATCGAAAACTCTCGAAAATGTATTATATCCTTTTTGATAATTTTCTTGGCATTAGAATAGAATATCTATTGCGTATGTATATACTGCGTTATTTGTATTCTTTCATGGACTCGTGTGAGTCTTATATGAACGCATGTAAATAGTCTAACCAAGTCAGAAAGTAACGGAAAGAGAAGACGTTCGCTACATCCGTGAAACAAGTGTTAATTGAAGTTTAACTTTCTAGTGCAATTTCAATTCTCTTCTTATTTTTTTTTTAACATTAACACATTTTAAAGAATATATTCGTTTAATCATCAATTTAATTACTCAAACTAAACCATACCAGAAATACTTAACAATTTAATTATTACGCAGCACATTCAATTAATAATGTAAACATTACACATATTTTTATTAAGAATTATACTTTATGAATAACTAATTTAATTACTCAGAGTAAAAAAACGTTTTAGAAATTCTTAATAATTTAATCAATATACTCCAAATATATATATATATGTATATATATATATATTTTTAACAATTTGATTACTGGATGAAACACAAAAATAAATAATCCAGACCGTATATTTTTTTAATCCGAAATATTATACATTGTAATAAAAGTGAAAGCAAAAATAAATTAATTATTGAGATGACAATTTTCGATGACAAATAAATTAATAAGAAATAAATTTGATGATTTTAGGCCGCCGCGATGTGGCCTGGAGTACAACTTCTACTACTGTTACTAGCAGTCCTGCTACATTCTTCAAGGTAAGTCGTAATATTATTGTTTAATTATCTTATGTTCCACTTATTTCATATCGTTTGGACTTAAAGTCAGTCAAGGACATTGGTGCATGGAACGATATAACAAATTCGTTATTGGAACAGTGTCAAAAACCTCAATGGCTTAATGCCAATGACATTTTTCTATCGTTTCTCAAGTTTTGCGCGATTCTCGAAAAGATATTTGAACCGATTCGATTGACCTTATCGATTATTATTTATCGTTTCGATATCATCGAAGCGTTTCGATGATTGTGTTTTTTTCGAAATAAATAAATGCAAGAGGAAGAAAAAGAATTAAAGGGAGAGAGAGAGAGAGAGAATATAAAATGATAGGAAAACGATACGAGACAGGATATTTCAATGTCAATAAAAAATTATCGTGTTTACTTGGAAAAGTAATCAAAGTTCTTCTACACGTTCAATCCTCGAATAAAAACCAATCGTTTCTGCTTCACGCGTTCAAATATTATAGTTTGATTCGTTTTTACGATCGATATTGATTATATATAGCACATTTAATAGTTTTTCCAATAGATTTTAACTAGTTTTTATTTTTACGCAAATAATATTTTATCATATTATTTAATAAAGATAATAAAATGTAACAACATCATCGTGAAAATATGTCTTATTATCGTGAAAGTGTTATTTCTAAATTTATTATTTATGTATGTATACGTAAATTTACGTAGTTGTTTATGTTGATTTAATATGACTAATTAACCAAAAAGTGTCATGATGGAAGTTCTTTGTTGAAATCATAGAAGTAGAATAATTTCTGTACTATACTATATGCATATGTACATCGTTCTTGGCAGCTTCTTTGTGCGTCTATTAATATTCCACGTCCACTTATCGCAAACTGCTCTCAAGTATTATCCCCCGTAATTTATCCTTTCTTTTTCTATTTTCTAATAAAATATGAATTTTCCATTGGACACTTTACAAACGTTAAAATAACAATCTTACAATTAAATTTCAATCAAATATTCTAAATACTAGATTGATACTGAAGAAAAAATGTAGATTTCATCAACATATTAGTTTCGATTTTATAAATAAATAAAAACAAAAATAAAAGAGAGAAAAAAAGAAAAAAAAATTCAATTTAAATGATCGTGCATCGAGAAATTTCAAAAAAAAAAAAAAAGAAAATATGATGCGGGTTTTCTCTGTACACGATGATTTAATTGGACGAAAAAATTCACTGATCTGACGCACACGTACACGTGCATATTATACCTAGGTTACAGAAATGCATACACAGAAAAGCGTATTTCCAGTGGAAAAAGTTGAAAGATTGAAAAAAGAGGATAGGATGGTATCTAGCCGTCGGTGATTTCACTTTGCAATTAGCATTGGTTTTACCTTGATATGCGAAAAAAAAAGAAAGAAAAAGAAAGGGGTAAAAAAGGAAGGAGGAGGAGGAAGAGGTGGCTTGTTGGTGAGCGCCGGTAGTTGAGCGTCATCAGGCATTCATTTGCAACTAATGACGAACCTGTAACATTCCTGGAGTATCAGTAAAACTGACATCTACAAGACACATATGAACTAGTAGGAGAGACACGTTATTCTGACTTGATAGATAAATGGCTGGTACGAAGTAACGAGCTGCAATAGCAGCAGCAGCAGAATCAACAGTAGTAGATGCAGTTGCTGACGATTTGAAAACCGTGAAACTAACGCGCCGATTTAACCGACGCGTATTTCCGACTTTTTTTCTTTTTTTTTCTTTCTTTCTTGAATAACCCAGCTAACTTTCGTGTCACTTACTGTCACCACATCTAATTACTACAATTCTACTAACTTTTTAGGCCAATTCATTTCATCATTTCGATATATTATATATTTTTTCTTTTTATTATTTTCTACCTCATTTTTCTTCAACTTTTTATTCGAACTTTGACGATATTTTAATAATGTATGCGCATAAAAATCGATATTAATTATTCATCATACTATTTGAACTACATTCCTATTTCTCTCTCTCTCTTTTTCTTTTCATCTTTTTTTCGATAGAACTTAGAAAATGATTTGATCGTTGAGAGGGAATATCGATCGGTATAAAAATTAGCCAAAGATCGTGAGATAACACGATCTCGAAGTTTTTCTAAATAAAGTTGACAAGAAAACGAGTTTAAGCGGCAATATTTTCACCTTTGCTACGAAAGTTAAGTACAATGGTACTTCTTTCGATTCGAAGTCTTTGTGTCGAAGGATCGAAGATATAGAATGGGTATCGAAAAATAGAATATAAAATGGAAAGAAAAGAGACACAGAAACATAGAGAAAGAGAAGAAGAAGAAGAAGAAGAAGAAGAAGTAGAAGAAGTTTTACTAGATAAGGTATAAGAAGAAGAAGAAGAAGAAAAAGAAGGGGGAGGAAAGGAAAGAGACAGAAAGAGTTGTTTAGAAGGGGCTATGGTTGATGTTGGGGCCAAGAAACAGGGTTGAAATTTTAATATGCGAATAGAGATAAAGATGGAAGGTTGTATGTTGATGCCCATGGCGCCAAAGTCCGGGTCGGGGTGAAGCAGCTTTGAATAGCCTTGGTCCGAGGCGCCTCTCCTAACTTGCAGTGCACACCCTTCTCACCCTACTACTTCTATTCCACCCCCATCTTCACCCCTACCTCTTCTTCCTTCTCTTCCTCTTCGTTCTCTTCTGGTACCATCTTTCTCTCTCTCTCTCTCTTTCTCTATGCTAACCCTTGCACACCCCTTCCCTTCTTCTTCTTCTTCTTCTTCTGGAAGTTCAGAACGCGGCTTGCCACCACCGGGTGGCTTCAGGGGAGGGAAGTTTTTCATTAGAGATCAGCCCGGAGCTACAGACTGGTTTAAATATTTCACCGGAACATCGTCAAGAATCGTGGCACGTAATAACAAAAAATCTGGGATGTCAGGGCAGCGCGAACTTTCACCAACACCATCCCACGCCACACCTCACCTCACCTCACCTCATCTCATCTCACCTTTCTTCACCTCAACTTACCAAACCAAACCACAACTGCGGTTCTCTTATTCCTATTCTAAGCGACAAAACATAATATATTTTATCGTGTCCTCCTTTCTTTCAAAACAATCAAAATATTTAATAATGATAAATGTTAATATATCTAAAAATAATTGAATTGGTTTTGAAGAATTTGTTTAATTTTTTTTTTTTTTATAAAATTTTGTCTAGCTCGAGTTACTTAAACGTGGCTTTTGGGTTATAGTTTTTTTTTTTTTTTGAATCGATTGAATATATTAAGAATCAAAATAAATTAGAAATTTTATATAAGGTGTAATATTTACAAAAAAAAAAATCAACATATCCAAATATTAATCAAATATCAAGTTTATTGATATAGATATGTGTTTATAATAGATATTTGTAGTAATATATTATTCTCTTAATAGAAAATAATTCCTATCTTACAAAGTGTTATAATATATTACTTGAAAAAAAAAAGAAATATTTTTATTGATATAGATATGCATTCATAATATAAATTGTTAATAATTTATTATTTTCCAAGCAAACTTTTTGATTAAATGTAAAATATTTTCTTCATTTTAGTTTGACGAGAGATCAAGGATTGAATTTTATTTGAAATATCGAAGAAATGAAAAAACATGTAGACACAAAGTACTTTTGCAATAATCTCTCTCTCTCTCTTTCTCTCTCTCTCTCTCTCTCTCTTGCATATTCCCGAATAACTTGCATAGCATCGATTACAAAAGTTACTATCTCAGAATGCATTTTTTGTACACACACTTCCCAGGATCTCATTTGACTTTATACGACATTTTCAATAATATATTCCAGTGTGGATTTAATTTAGGTGTCGCTTTTCCTTCGTTCTCGATACAATATACAAAACAATTTGAACGGGAGAACGAAATAAATAAACGTGATTAAAAGTTTCTTCTCGTTCCTTCAATAGCATCACCAATTTCTCTCTCTCTCTCTCTCTCCCTCTCTTTCCGTATCTTCTTTTTTCTCACCCTCTCATCCCACACCTTGAGTTCAGAACTCGTTCGTAAACTCCTTTAAGGAAGACAGCTTTTCTTTAACTTCGGAAACGATTCGAAATCGTACGATTTCTTCGAGCTTATAAAAAAAAGGAAAACGAAAGAAAAAAAACATTAAATTATTTCTGTCACTAATACGATTTCAAATAAAAAAAAATAGGATGAAAGTTTTCTTTTTCCTTTTTTATTTATTTTCTCTCTCTTTCTCTTTCTCTAATAAATCAACTTTGATCTCTTATTTCGAAGATTTAAAATCAGAACGAGCAAATAAAAAAACATTGATTTCAATGGCTTTGAGTGATTTATTTTGGACAAAAAAAAATAAACAAATAAACACAAACATAACAAACAAACGTCGTGCGTTAATGTGTAAATGTCTATGTGTATTATTTTAAAAGATGGTCTGTGTAAGAAGATGAGTATCGACGGAAGGAAGAAAAGGATATATTTTTTAATATACAGTTTTCTTTGGAAGAGAGAAAATGTTTCGAAAGTTTACAAAAGGATCTAGGTCAGGTCAGCTGTTGGATCATCGTCGTTGTCGTTTCGTTTCGTTTCGTTTCGTTTTCTGTTGACAACGTTTCGGGTGGAAAGCAAGTTCACTCGTTATTCCTTGTGACGTGATCAAAGATCATGACTCGTAAAATCCTGTCGTTGTGCAATCAATCATCCTAACAAAGCTTTGAAAATTTTTCAACAAGGATACAAAAGCTAGAAAGAGAAAAAGATAGATAAAGGGTGAGGAAAGTAGAAAGGGAGAGAGAGAAAGAGAGAGAGAGAGAGAGAGAGGGAGAGAGAAATAAAAAAGATAGAAAAAGAAAAAAGAAAAAGGAAAAGGGAAAAAGAAAGAAAGAAATAGAGGCAGTTTTTTTTTCTTTTTTACTTTTTTTTCTTATATAAAATATATGTATAGTTGAACGGGGTGATGCATTATTCCGTAATAACTTCGAATATCCGATAATTATGGCTGAAAAATCTTTTGTAATATCGAATGAAAATGTAAGTGGAAATGTTACCGAGATAATTCGACCGAATTGTCATTTTAAAATTCTATTGTCAAAGAGAGTGAGAGAGAGAGAGAGAGAGAGAGGGAGAGAGAGAGAGAAGGAAAGGGAGAGAGAGAGAGAGAGAAAGAGAATATTCCTATTTCTCCTTCTCCTCCTCCTACTCTCCTTCTAGTACTATCTATACCTACCTTTATTACAAACGAAAGATCAGAGATAGTAGAAGGAAGAGAGGTCTGTGATCTTGACCGGAAATAACTCTTCGTATATAGAATTGCAGTGTATTTTCAAGAGTATCCTTTAACGTCACTGATTGCTACTTCATTGTCAGACGATGAATTTCGTCACAATTTCATGGATGACAAATTTTTCTTTATTTATTTCTTTCTTTATTTTTCTCGGTGTTTTTTTCTTCTTTTTTCTTATTAGTCGTGTACATTATTTTATTTTATTTTATTTTTTTTATTATTCTCCTGCAATCAACGAAATTAATTCGAATCTCTCTCTTTCTGTCTTTCTTTGGAAAATTCCAAATGCAATATTCTATTTAATCGCTCCAAGCGATACGAGCGGATAATTACGATCGAATCTTTTCTATTTAAAAAGAGATGATAGGGGTTTAGAGGATGAGGGATTTAGGGGGGAGGGGGTGTGGGTTGTAAACAAGTTGAATGAAGAATTTATTCCCAAGTATATTCGCGCGTTACTTTCCGTAGCGGTTTTAAGGAAAGTTAACGAAGAAAATCAGATACTTCGAGAGACGAAAGATTTTCGACCCTTTTGTTAGTACTCGTAGATAGTCGAGATTGCATCTTATGAATTTAGAAAAAGGTTGTAAAGATACCCTTCAGGGAATAGACTGACTGACTTTAAAAGGATTCTACGGATACGTGTCAAGGATTCCAATTTTCTTAGACGAAAGTAGTCCGAGATTTGATTATCGATACGTAAAAACGGACAAATTTTATTTTTGTGTGTTTTATTATTTTCAATCATTAGTTAAATGTTTCAATCTTTTTAAAATTTCATTCCAATCTTCAAATGTTAATAATTTGTTTGTTTTATTATTCGATGACATTGTCGTATTTTTGATTGACCATAAAATTACAATCAAAATTATCCAAAAGTTATCAAAGAACTTTAGTGTATAATATTTTGTTGAAAAATAAAGAAAAAAAAAAAGAAAAAAAAAGGAAAATATTAATTATATATATTATTATATTATATATATTAATATATCAATAATTATTTTTTTATTTTTATTATTACTTATTATATTTACTTTTATTATATTTCGACGATTTTATATTTTTAATGGGCATAAAATTACGTTGAAATTTGTCGTAAATTTTATCAAAAAGAACTTTAGTTGATATTTTGTTGAAGACAAGAAAAAAAAAAGAAAAAAAGAAACAGAAAAAAATAAAAAAAAGGAAAAGAAAAGGAAAGGAAAAACAGAAAAAAAAGAATATTTTAGTGCGAGAGATTTTTCAATCAACACTACGTAAGAGGAAGTTTCATCTCAATAATTACCCGAATGCTGAGTACCGAGGAGGAACGCGTTTGCAAAGTATTCCTATGCGAGCTGTGATTAAAGTTAAAATTGTCGTCGGTGGCGGTGGGTACCGTTCAAGACCATTTCGTACTTCTTTCTCATCAAGATGAGATAGGAGAGTTTCTGTTTAGAAGAAAGAAAAAGAAAGAGTAAAAGAGAGAGAGAGAGAGAAACATCGCGAGGCAACTTCGAATACGGGATGCGAGCACTCAGCCAACCAAGTTCCTTTTTTTGTGCGTTTCGTGCGCATTTTCTCGTCCCTTTGAAGGACGAGTTAGTATTCTGAAAGTGCTATGACATTTCGACGGAATTCCATTTTCATTGGATATTCACGATTTCCAAGAATATTACGTTTCTAAATGTATCTATATGTATACAGTTTTTATTCGAATGATTAATGTAATCTTGAATTTAATATTCCATACGTTTACACGAAGATTTGATTGATTGATTTATTTATTATTTTGCTATCTTTTAGTTTTATTTTATTTTTTTTTAAACCGAGTATGTTTGCACTTGTGAAAAATTTATTTTCATTTTTAACGATCGATGAGAAATTTTGTAACCCCGTACGATTTCTAAGAACTTTTTTTTGGTCTAAATTTGAGAGATATTTGAAATTAATTTTGTCAACGTATTTTGAACATTGTGAATGATTTTTTTTATTCATTAATAGTACAATAGATATCGATAATATAATCAGTTTTATTTATATATGTCGAGACGAAATGAAATTTTGTTAAATGTGATTAAACGCAGATTCGTATTATTTTGATAATTATACACCGTAAGATAAGGTAAAGAGGTGCTATTTAAAATTCTTAACTAGGGGTTGGTTAGAGTAAACCTTCATTTTATCAATATTTAAATTAATGTTTTCTTTCTATCAATCGAAATTACTTCAACATCAAGTGTTAATTTAAGTGGCAAATTTTTAAATCAAGCACAGTATTTAAAAAAAAAAATAATGAATAATATTATACTTACTTAAGTATAATTACACTTGTAAACGTACAACGATCGATTTTAAATTTCATATTAAAATTTTACATTCGATGTTACTATTTCTTTTTTTGTTGAAATTAACTCTACCTCACAATAAGAGTTAAAAAAAAATATTGTTTGATTAATATAAAAAGTTTATTCAATTTGTTATTAAAACCGGTAGAAAATAATTATTCGAATTCAATAATATATTTAGAGTGAACGCAAATTGTTGATTGGTATATTGGATTATTAACAAAATTTTTGTTGACGTTTCAGATGTTCGCAGGCAAAAGTGAACTATCGAGAGAAGGAGAAGGAGGTGTTGGACAACATCCTAGGTCCAGGAAGATACGACGCGCGTATCCGGCCGAGCGGGGAAAATGGAACAGGTGAATATAGAGTATCTCCATATTTCTACACACAAAAAAAAACACTTTACCTTTTATCCATATACTTTATAGTACATAGTATATAAATAAATATACATATTGGTTATATACGATTATTAACACAGCGAGAGATAAACCGAAAACACGTTGACATAAGGTCATAGAAAAGTTACGGTTTAAAATAAACGAATTAATTGTAAATACAAAGAGAAAAGAAAATCCAAAAAGATTTCAAGAAAATAACTAAAACTAACAAAATAACATGTAAATAAGTAACAAAACGAAACGATAAAGTAAGAAAGAACAAAAATAAAGTAGAAAATAACGAAGGGTGCATCGATGGAAACTTTTCAATTCTGTCGATTCGTGAAAGGTATGAAAAAAGAAAAAGAGAAAAAAATAAGAAAAAGAAAAAAGATCGTCTTGATTTTCGTTTTCGATCTATCAAACGAATATATATATACGTTTTCTAAGACTTTGATTTTTCTTCGAAACATCTTGGAAATGTATTTTTCGAGGGTAACGTCGAGGACGTGTCCTGGGCGGCGCAATTTCACGAATCCCACGAGACTCGTTTCATTCAAAGGAACTTACAGCTTTTCCCTTACCAGCCCCCTTCTCTCTCATCCCTTTCCCACCCTCTACTTTTATCTCTTCTTTATCTATTTATCTATCTTTCTCTCTTGCCTTTCGTATTTCCTTTTTCTGAATTTCGGATAAAACGGTTTTACGTTAGACGCGTCTGTTTCTGACAGCCTGTTTCGAGAAACCACGATGCATCGAAACGCATTTATAGAATTGTTGTTTTATTTTTCTTCGGCTCTTTCTACAACCCTCTACAACATCACCACCCCGTTAACCTCCCTTACCTACAACGCCAGATTCTTTGAAATTTTCTTTACATTTACCTGCTTTGTCTGTCGCCTTTCTCTCTCTCTCTCTCTCTCTTTTTATTTTGGATTCTTTAAAGAAATACTCGAACCAATGAACAATTTTATATTATTCGATAAATGTTTATCATTTAAAAATCGGATCTTTTATTTGGAATAGACAAATATTTGATATTTTGTATTTTTTTTATGAAACATTAGTTTTTTTCTATTATTGAAATAATTTTTTTCTTTCTAAATATCGTTTTAAATACAATCGTTTTTGTATGACATATAAGGTATGTCATACTTAGTGACATTTTAATGATAAAATTATTCTTCTTTTTTAAATTGAAAATAATTTTTTGAACGTGATTTCATCAGAGTTATTATTTCTTTGCTTAGTTAATACCATTTGTTTTCACCAATAATATTAAATAAAAATATTATCTTTTTTACGAAAGGCTTAATTAAAATTCTTTTTGTAAATTATCGGAGTATTACGATTTAAAACTTACAATTTTCATTTGAAACAAAAAGCAAGGAATTAAGGAACGTTGATAAAATCGATCAATCTTTTTTTTTTTTAGTCTTGTTACTTTGTAAAATTTTGAATATTATTTCTTGGTTCGCGGGTGCAAAGAAGAAGAAAAAAGTTGGGATTGGTGCATCGGATTTGCATATCGTACGACGATACATTAAAGCAGCATTTTTCAAACTTTTTTGGTCACTGACCGGTATATTTTGTTAAATGCTTACGCGATTCACTTTTATGTAAAAAAAAATAAATATATATATATAAATTTATTATTTAATAATGAATATTAAAATATACAATTATTATTTAAAGTGCTAATTTTAATCTTTCACAAATGTTTTATTGTGTTTTTATTTAAATGTTTAATTAAAAAACCAATTTATTTTATGTAGAATATATTAAACTCAATAAAACAAATTGTAAGTTTCAATATAAATATAAATAATGTTTCATAATTACAATAACTGAATTTTACTAAAATATTTTTTGTTGTTTAATTTTTTTCATAAATCAACATTTTTGTCCGGAAACCGATATTGGGCCGGACAAGTTTGGAAAACCCGTTTGCTAAATTATGACCAATGAAAAAATGGGTTATTAAAAAATCAGATTATATTTTTTTTTTAAAGAGCATTATTAAATTCAATATGTTAATACAATTCAATATAAATATAATTAATTTTTAATATTAAGAACAACTTAAGTAGAAAGATTTGTTTTTTTTTCTTTCTCATTTTTTTCCAAAGGTCGGCAATGTTTTTTTTTTCCATAGACCGGTACCGGGCCGCGTATCATAAGTTTTGGAAATTCTGGGCTAAAGCATAGCCGAGGAAAAAATCCGAGAAATTTCGTAGTTGAATCTTTCAAAGAAATAACCTGCATGCAGTAATAGGCAAACGTTATATACGTCGATGCTTCCGCACCATTGTTGTGCCAAGCACAGAATGAATAGCTCTCTTCTTTGCAGCTGGTGACCATGACACATAAGACGCAAATAACACAGAGAAAGAGTGAACGAGAGAGAAAGAGAGAGAGAGAGAGAGAAAGAAAGTGTGTACATGCGGAATGAGGGATGTGGGGGTGGAGGAAGGGGTGGTTGGTAGTGGGAACACATTCGTGTGTGTTCGGGGTAAGAAAAAGAAAGCTCGCAATGACGCAATATATAAATTAGAGTATATCTCATCTTGAAAGAGAGAGAGAGAGAGAGAGAGAGAGAGAGAGAGAAAGAGAGAGAGAAATCATTAAGAAATTCTCTAAACGTATGTATCTATCTACAAATGCGTTTATGTGTAAATCTGTTTGTCCGTGTGCGTGTGCGTGTGTATATGTTTAAAAATTGTCGAAGAAAAATGATGAAAAATATTCCAACTAAAGTAGAAACTTTTATCATTTCTAAAACTTTTATCGTGTCAAATGAAAGAAATAGATGAATCTTTTACAGTTTTTTGAAAGGTTCAACTTGTCTTGAAAAATGGTTATATAGATTATTTTTGTATTTTGGTATTGTCGAAGCTCGAATTGAAAATATCAATAATATTATTTTTTCAATGGAAGTATTTTATTATTCTTTTTAATAAAATATTTAAAATTGGATATAAAGTTAATATATATGTTGCAAATGAGAGAAAAAGAAAAACAAAGAAGGAGAGAGAGAGAGAGAGAGAGAGAGAGGGAGTGTGAATAATAAAAAAAAATGATTTGATAAAGGAAGGATATCATTGGATCGTGAAAAATGATGAATCGTGCATTTTGTAAGGGATGATTTACATTTATGTACATTGCAAATCGTGTCTAAACAATGCTCTCTTCCTGCCCTGTCTACAGGGTGCGAAGGGAAGTGTGGTGAAAAAGAGAAGTAGGGTTGGAAGAAGAGCTTGTTCTAACTGAAGGGCCATCGCGATTTGTGTACTTCGCGCGCATCCTACGACATTGCGCCGCCCGCCCTTCGTGTAGATGTTGCGTCCGATAACTATCTATAGCAAATGTCTAAAAGTGATAATAGAAATCTGAATTTTCCAATCGAATATTCAACGATTAAACGATTATCGAGTAACTCACAATGTGTTTATCAAATTTTCAAACGACTCTAATGACAGTCAAATCCCATAAGAGATAATTGTTTTATGATATTTTTTCATTATATCATTTTTTTTTAAATTTTTATTTCATTAATTATTTTTATGAAATATTCATTTTTTACAAACAAGCTTTTCAAATTAAATATTATTTTTCCTTGTTTTCCTTTTTTTATTGGGTAAATTTATACTTTTAAATTTGGTTAATAAAATTAAAATTGGTTAATTAAAATTCGTTAAACTTTATTCTTTTATGTTTATTGTTTGGATATTTATATATATGTATAGTATATATTATATTTATATTATTGTTATTTTATTATAATTTTAGTTAATTTTCACTTGTCCTCGTTTCTAAAAGAATTTTTAAACCATTGATACTAAAATATTTCTTTTTCTTATTTTATAATAAAAATGATAAATTTGTGTTTCTAGGTAAAATAATTTTGAAATATAACACTAACACTTTATGTTATTGTTCTATTTAATTTTGCTATATATTGAATTTTCTTTATTTTTCTCAGACGTTGCTACCCTCGAAAAAGAAAAGTTTTACGAAGAAAATTCGTTTTTTGCATTGCCATTAATATGTTACGTTTACAGAAAATTTTTGCACAAAAGAAACATCGTACAAGACGATGAATATCTGGATATAAGTTTGAAAAAAAATCATGCAAAAATCATTTTCTTTTTCTAATTAGATAAATTAAAGATAAATCAAATTGTTTTTAATTGCGTATACAAATACGACAATTATAATTTTATTGTAGAATTTATGAATAGAAAATAATCTTTCAGAAGTTCTAGCTCGCACCATATATATAACTAAAAATTATATTATTTATTTCAACAAATGTATTTTCTCATAATAGATTACTTGTAGAAGTTTATAAGAAAGATGATCACATTAACGATGATAATATCACAATCATCATTACTAACATCTATGATTGTCAAAAAAACTGATCGTCAAGTTTTACCTTCGCGAACTGTCCCAAATTTTTATTTTTTTTTTTTATTTTTCTTCTTCTTCTTTATTCATTAGCATTCATTTTCATAATTTGTTGCCTGTCAATTCTAGGTCACATCATTCCTCGTCCTTGACACTGTTTAGGTATCACTTAACTTGTATGTACTTAGAAGTATAATACTTTAGCATCTTTCCCTTCATTCTAAATTCTATGCCTCGTTAAATTCCCTTAGATCTTATTTTTTTCTTTCTTTTCTTTTTCTTTATTTTCTAGTCCCTACTCTTCATTGTAATTAAAAAACAAATCAAAATATATCCTTTTTGTTTGCCATTAATTTAGGTAAATGAACTTATCAAAGTTGTTATTATGCGTATAAAACGTATTTTTTCAACATATTCTTTTTTCATGTCACAATTCCAATATATTATTTTAACATTTATCAATTTTAACATCAACAATTTATTTTTTTTTAATTTTTTATTTATATTCGAAAAATTAATAAATCATTTGCTTATAAAATTCGTTGAACAACATCAAMAACAACAAC